ATTTAGTGTAAAAATTTGATGTTACAGGAATTATATATCGCTGTTGGAATTTCTGGAGCTATTCAGCATCTCGCAGGAATGAAAGATTCTAAAACAATTGTTGCTATAAACAAAGATCCAGAGGCACCAATTTTCCAAGTAGCTGATTACGGTCTAGTGGCGGACCTCTTCAAAGCTGTCCCTGAGCTCAATGAAAAACTATAACAATCTCCACCCGTCGATCTTCCCTCAAAACTGCAAAATATTGAAAAATAAAAAATAACACGATTTTTATTCCTTGCTATCGTAAACTGAAGACTGATATAGCAATATTTTTATTATCATTCTTGGAACATTTTTAATCCAATGAAAAAACCATAACTTACACTTTATGTAAATAATAAAAATCTTGATGAATTCGTTACGAATTGATTGAATAATCTCAAATATTTCAACTAACAATTTGAAATTCTACAATTTTCGAATCCAATGTGGAGTGAACAGTGAAAAAATTCGAGAAGCAATGGACAAAAATTCGAATACAATCAATCAATCAATATAATTGAATTCCCCTAAAAAATAAATTTGAATTCTCTCCCCCGATGATGATCTTGCCCGTCCCCTCATCACCAAAACCACAGCCTCACTAAATCCGAAAGTGAAGCGGTGAAAAGTCATCGACCGATAAATCCACTCAAAAGAATAATAAAAATCCCACACATCCAAATAATAATCTGAATAATGAAGTAAACATCATGCGATCCATTTAATGAAAAGAATAATAGAGATAATCGAAATACTTGACACTTCAGAAAGTGCAAAGTGCTCCAGTAAATTATCCACCCCCTGCATTACTGGCATTACCAGCAACAGCAGCATTGATAATGCAGGGCGGTGTAAAATTAACAAACCGCACAGTATTTTTGATATTAATATAAGTAGACGATATAGTAATACCAATTCCAATAAAAACCACAAAATATCCGAACCAATAAATAACTCGATCTAAATATAAATTCCGTAGTTCTTTCCCTTGAATTTCAATTCCACCATCAAGATTGCGGTGCCCTTCCGGTACGGTTGGATCAACAATAACTGGATTAACCCTCTCACTCATCCGTACAGCTTCACCTGGAGGAGTGACCCCCGTCGTGTTCTCGACGTCAGACAATAAATCGTCGTCATTATCGAAATATACGTATGAGTAGCGCTGCTGATGATCTTGATCTCTGAATCCATAATGAGTGGATTGAGAATGGATTTTAGGATCCACCAGGGGAGTACCTCCTTGGTGACGCTGGGCAGGTGATATTATGTCGCGGATGGGGGGATTGTCCTGGGATCGGGACTTCAGGGCGCGTGCACGTGCGTACATTATAGGAGGAAGAACGAATACCAGAGGACCTGTTAGACTTCCACCGATCAAGGACATCACGATGTCGAAACGAGGAACTGATTCACCAACAGCTACTCCTAGGAATACCACCGCTGAACGCATCGCACAGCGTTTCCATCCAAAAGCTGAAAGAATAATTGAATAATTGAATATTTCGAAAATAAAAAGTGCAATAATAATAAAATTATTATGATAATTAATAATAATTTAATACTTGTTATAATATATACCAATATATTCGGTTATATATCAATAACCAGGTGAAGACTAATTATCAGTAATTACTTGTTGATAATTAATCATTTTTATCTATTATTCACTAATTTATTAATTACGAATTTTTGGAATTTAATGGTAAGTATTTGTAATATCTTGTTTTTCTTTTTTCCTTCAACATTATCATCAGTTTTTATTTTGTTAATGTTAATTTGCGCCGGTCGAGGGAATAATTGTGTATATTATTATATTATTACATAAGATATGAAAGATAAGAAAAATATAAAGAAAATTTGAGATTTTGAATTATTTAATAATAAGGAGGAATTAATGAGCGATTTTTTATGATTAAAATTCGATTTCTGTCTTTTTTTTTAATGATTTTTTAAATAAAAAAACTGTAATCTCGCAATTATTGACTGATTCTCCTTTTTTTGTGTTTCGAATTTAGTACTTTTGACAGGATTTCAGATTTTTCTGTTAAGGCTCGGGTGGATTATCTAGAAAAGATAATTTACTCCGAAATTCGGATTTCTAATTATTTTGGCAATTAATCGTTTTTTAAAATAATTGTTAGCTAGCGTTCTAGCGGTTGTCAACTA